CTCTCTCTCTCTCTCTCTCTCTCTCTCTCTCTCTCTCTCTGTGTGTGTGTGTGTGTGTGTGTGTGTGTGTGTGTGTTCCTTACAGCTTACACATTATTTATTTTGTAGTTTGTCACCAAATAATTAAACATCCTCATTAAAGATGTCGTTTTCCTGACAACAAATACTATTATTTTTTTTTTTATTTAAAACTGAATAGATGTTTTCTGATCCTATTTAAAATGACAAACTCATAAAATGCTGCAGATTGGTCATCATAACATCAGGTTATAATGATAAACTTTTCCTCTTCCTCTTCTTTGGTGGAAACCAAGGAATAAACCCRGCCAGCGTAGCTCAGGAAAAAGTGTGTCATCTTGTTTATTTTCCTTTGGTTTGCTGTCTTTTTCCAGCCCATAGGGTGCGATAATAACAAAAAAATATTGCGGTGTCCATGTCTCTCTCCCCCACTCTTCTCCTCCTGAACCCAGCAGGGACCACCAGGCCCTCACAGCAACATTCCAGCTGAGAGGAAGAGCAGCAGAAGTTGTGGGTTCATGTTTGCGTGTTTGCTCAGATTTAAAGCACACAGACACACGGTGACTCTGATCTGCTCGTCTGTAWCCTCCAGAAGAAATAAATGTTCTCATGGACGGTTCTCCCCCCTCCATCACTGCTCTCTCTCTCCGTGCTGTGCCTGATGTGCACGGCCTGGGACTGAATAATATTTGGACAGGTGTTCTCTCATATACATTCACTTCAAGGGCTCTGGTGTGTTGTTTCATTGCTTTCTTTCAGAAAAAAAAAAGGAGGTGTGGGGGGGGGGGGGGTTAAAAGCTCTGTAGTCCACGGTGGATGTGTAATCCCTAACAATAAAAAACTGTTTAGCACCAATTTTCCTACACTTTTTAAAAACTTCTATTTTTTTCTGGTTTCAGACAAGAGGAGGCCACATCTGGAGGACAGATGTATTCCCAGAGCTTGCTTTTCACTCACTCTCTCTTTCTCCTGTCCCCTCCCTTCCTCACTCCTTTTTTTTCTTTTGAGAGAGGGGGGGAGAAACATGAGAGCTGAGCTAATTCTCTCCCTCCCCTCCAGAGCCAGACCACCCACATTCGGAAACGCCTAGCTGTGTTCCTGAGGCCGAGCCGGCGGCAGCTCCCAGAGACAAGAGCGGTGGAAGGATGGGCTGTGACGGGACACTTTTAGCAGAGTATCAATTACATCCGTGTCAAAGCTGTGAGAGGAGTGTGGGAGACAGCCCGGACCCTGAGCCTGCACCACAACTATCTATATCTGCTCCCTCTGCAGCAGGACGGACAATAATCACAGGCAGGCTCCTCGGGGAAAATGCAAACTCAAGTCTCTGGAAGAGGCTGCAAACTCTTTAATCAAACAAAAAAAAAAATACATATTCAAACATGTCAAGAGATGTAACAGTGAAATGTTGCAGCTTTTATTTGCTCGGAAGGCAATAAATAATTGAAAGTTTTATTTTAAAGCTGTGAACTTATTCCATACAAAGCTCAATGTCGCCCCCTTGTGGATGGTCTTTGTATTACACCCTAAATAGGAGTTTCTGCACTTTTTCTAGAGCAGTGGTTGCCCAGTCGAAGTGATGATTTCTTTTTTGATGAAAGTATTTTTTTTATTATTTTTTAACATAATGTACAACAAAAAACAAACAACAAAGTAATAAAAACACAAACACCCGAAATCCCACCCCTCCCACCCCTTCCTATACCGGATCTACTGAAACAACAAAAATCGATCTTGTATTAATACAAGTGATATAATAAAAAGGTTTGTGTACAATGAAACAATATTTGACCTTTACACAAAGTTATCTGCCGAAATTTTTTCTACATAAGATATAAATTGCTGCCAAATGTCAAAAAATTGTTTACAGATCTCCTAACAGTATGTCTAATCTCTAAATGAATGTAAGACATAACTTCTCTGAGGTGATGATTTCTATCAATCAAATAAAAAAATTAAAAATGATCAAACAGCACATTTTCTTTGCTATAATTGTTTCAAAATCCTAAAAATAGCCGTTGTGACTTCACAGAATAACTAACACTCGACCAGTTAGTGCAGATAATTGGTTGTGTTTGCGCAGCAAAAAAACAAACAAACAAACAAGCAAGCAAAAAAAAATTTAAAAGCTCTGCTTAGAACCAAATAATGCTATCAACCTGCCCAACAATGTAGACACAAGAATCAGTTTCTTTAGTGATTTTAATTTATCAGAATGTCTCACTCAATGAAAGATAATCTGTCAAATTAAATTAAACAAAAAACATCATTTTGAAAGAAAACACTGCAAGTTATTAAGAACATTAAACACCAGCTGACACAACATGAAAATAAAATAGAAAAAAGTTGTTAAAAGCTTCCATGCGTTTTAGTTCTTTGGCTGTTTCTATGTAAAAGAAAAAAAAAACTTTAGTGTTTAAATCTTTCACACAATAACACTGAGTGAATGAAACTAACCTGACCAGGTGAGCAAACAACTAGAAAGACGTTAAACTTGAGTCGCTTATTTGATGAGTAGATGGATGTGGTGTTACATAACTTACGGGTGGAAAAAAGTTTGTGTTTGGGTCCGTTCAGTTGGAACACTAACATCCAATCATTAACATAATCAGTTGTTTTATTTGTCCAAAACATCTGTAGGTAAAATAACTAATACAGCAGGCCCAAAACTGTCTTTCTTTAAAAACAAGACTGTAGGTGTAATTAAGATTTAAATATGTACATACGCACATACTACATACAATGTATGACTGATTGTACTGTGAAGCACTTGGGGGACCTTGGATTTGATAAAGCAAAATACAAGTACAGACAAATATACTATGTCCAAACCATGATACTACCACCAGAACTTTAGATTTAGATGTCCAAACCATGATACTACCACCAGTTTTGAAATGTAACTTTATAACATAAAACTACAAAAAAAATATACAAAGGGAAAAAGACAGATTTGATAAAATACAAGAAAATTCTTCGTCCAGCCTTGGTTCAAATGTAAAAATTAAAGGATGATTCATTTTGGTCGTATTTGTGCAGAAACATTTTGAAGTGCCACTAAAATAGCATTTTAACAGGTCAGTTAGCTCTAGAGTAATATTTAAAGAGATAAATGATGTAACTTCTTGCACATATTAATGACATTATCTCTTATTTAGTTTTCTCAGTTTCCTCCGTTTTCCTTTTCCCCACTTCAGTAGCCACAGAGCCCACAGTGGCCCCAACCATCCCTCCAAACGGCCCCCCCACAAAGAGGCCAACCAGGGCCCCCATCAGGGCATCCCTCCTCACGAGGGACGGCAGCCATCTGATCCAGGCCACCAGCTTCCCCCACAGCCTTTGGAGAAAAGAGGAAGGAACAGGGGTGGAAGGTGAGACGCTAGAAGACGTAAAGATACCACCTAGATCCAGATCGAAGCCCCCCACGCTCCTCTCCGCCTCTTCTCGGACAGCTTCCATCTCCTCCTCCGTCACTTCTGAGTCTGTGGGAGACTCGGGGCCTTCCTCCCTCCTCTGCCTCACAACCTCCCTCTGCCTCGCCTGCAGCCTCTCCTCAGCCTCCTGGTAGAGATGGCAGCTGAAGTGCTGGCTCCCGTTCTCCATCACGACCTGCTCCACCTTCTCCAGCAGCTCCTCCACCGCGCTCCGCTCCTCTGCGCCTCCGCCTCCACGCTCCAGCGTGTGGTAGCGGTCGCCGCACCTCGCCACCATCTCCAGGAGGTCTTTGCGCCACGTGACGAGGTATTCCTCCAGCTGCTCGTCCTCTCCCAGCTCCTCCATGTGGGTGAAGAGGACGAGCGTGTTCCTGCTGACGGCAGAGGAACCGAACAGCCGGTCCAGGGCAGCGAGCGCTTTGGTTTCATCATCAGCTGGCTGGCTCACAGGAACACAGAGCAGGAAGGCGTGTGGTCCAGGGCTCGACAACGCAACCAGAGAGGAAATATGTTTCCTTCTTTCCTCTGRGTCGCAGGCCGAGCTGAACCAGGCAGGACTGGAGACGACCACGACCTGCAGAAGCAGATGAAATAAACAGCTTAGGATAGGTTCTGCTGGGCTTTGGGCTCAATCTGAACCAGCAGAGCAGGATTTTTTATGAGTTTCGTTTCAGGAAGTGATAAAAAAAAATCCAGTTTCATTTTTGTGGGGGAGCTTCCTGTATTATATGTAATTACATATGAGGAAGTGGAACCTTATAGACCAAAACATTACAGTGGCTTTGCTGAAATCGACTGAGTAAGACTTAAAAAGGATAGTTCGGATTTATTTATTGAAAGAATATGAAAAATTAYTGTCTTACCTGTTGTAGATATCTCACTGAACAGCAGGACAAAGAACAAGTAACAAAGGAGCTCTTTTCATATAAGTCTTTCTTTAGGTCCTTTCATCCCCATTTACATGTCAGACACATCTATAACAGGTAAGATATTAATTGTTCATAATCTTTTACCTGAACCCCACTTCATTTTTTTGTAAACAAGAGTACTTTTATAACTCGAGGTAAGATTTCACCGAACCAATGTAAAATAAAACATTTTAGTGAAGATGTTCCTCTGTTCCTACCTGCCTGCCAGCAGCCTCTCCTCTGTGTTTGGTGCACTCCTGATCAGCCCCCACATCCGGGCCCTGGACTTCCAGGCCCAGGATGGAGCAAACTGCAGGCTTGTTTCCTGCCTGTTTTGGGCCCAGAACGACCAGCCTCAGCTCTGCAAAGCAGCAGCAGTGGTTAGTGTATTGTTGTTGTTGTTGTTGTTGTTGTTTTAAAAAGGAGCATAGAGTTCACAAAGCGAGTTACCAAACTAAACGAACCACATGACTCACTTCATTGTTGAAGTAACTGAGCTGTTTACTTTGTTCTGCCTGCTGCCATCTGCGTGTGTCACCACCCTGTCTCTGCTCAGAACCGCTTCAACTTTTCTGAGAACACACGCCGCCCTGTGCAGCTGCCCTCTTCTCTCAGCTCAAACCGCAACACAACAGCGAAAACACGCAGCAGAGTCGCGCCTACACTTATTATTTCTACCACACCGCCATGTCTAAGTTTCACTTTCTGGACCACCACATGATAAACAGAAACAGGATTCATCTTACCGGACTGTGAGGCAGATGATGACATGTCTGCTGCTGCGTTGGGATGAAAACAGACTTCCTGATTCCTGCTGCACTCCAGAGGTGAACACATCTGCTGCTCTGCGCATGCGTCGACRGAACCGTGTGAGTGCTGAATGACAGCTGACTAAAGGCTTAAAGAACCACAACTAAAAGTACAGAATCATTAGCTAAAAGCCACAAATAACACAAGATAAATGTAGAAAACTACTATACAAACTAAAAGTAACACAATATAAGCTAAAAGAGTCAAACATTACAACTGAAAATACAACACAAGCTAAAAGTAGAAAATCAAAAGCTAAAAGCAATACAAGCTAAAAGTAGCATCAGAAGCTAACAATATCCCAGCACAAGCTAAAAGTAGCAAATCACTACATTAAAAGCTAAAAGAAGCAAATCACTAGCTAAATACAACACCACAAGCTAAAAGTAGCAACTGACGACGTAGAAGCTAAAAGTATCACAACACAAGCTAAAAGTAGCAAATCACTACCTTAAAGCTAAAGGTAGCAAATCACTAGCTAAAAGCTGACACAACACAAGCTAAAAAGTAGCAAATCATTACATTAAAAGCTAAAAGAAGCAAATCACTAGCTAAATGCAACACCACAAACTAAAAGTAGCAACTGACGACGTAGAAGCTAAAAGTATCACAACACAAGCTAAATACTAAAAACTAACAGTATCACAACACAAGCTAAAAGTAGCAAGTCACTACCTTAAAGCCAAAAGTAGCAAATCAGTAGCTAATAGTAGCAAATCACTAAAATTAGCAAAAGTCAAACTAAAAACACTACATAAGCTAAAAGTAGTTCAACACAAGCTAAAAGTCTCGAATCACTAGACAAAAGCTAAATGACGCAAAATGCTAGTTATAAGCCAAAAGTAACATTGGGTAAAAGTAGCCCAATAGGTTAAAATCGCACATATCTAGCTGATGTAAAACATGCACAAAAAGTAGCAAATCACTAGCTAAAAGCTGACACAACACAAGCTAAAAGTACCAAATCATTACATAAACGTAGCTCATCAACATGCTGGCAAAACATAGCAATAATGTCCAAAAGGCTAGATTGTAACTAAAAGAACTAAAGTTCTGGTTAATATCTAAAAAGAGCAAAAAGCTAGCTAAAAGTAGCAAAACAATAACTAAAAGCTACAAATAAAGGACAAAACTGCTGAGTAAGTATGGTGAAGCAGGGATATTAAAACAAATCTTTTATTGTAGCAGATGTCCTACTGTTCAGTTTTAAACTGATGGCAAACTGATAGAAGCCATTCTTTTGACAAAGTTGCACCAATAATTGTTTTTTCTTCATCATGTTTAAATGTCTTCACATAGTTTACCCTAAATGCTTAACAGATGGTGATAAAAAACATACAAAACAAATACTTTAGACATGGTAAAAGAAAAACAAGATGTGAGAAATTCCCTAGCTTTAGGTGTTTGCAGACAAATACACATTCATCCAATACAATCATTCATAAAACCCACAGCTGTACAGAAACAGCAGAACCAAGCTGATGTGACGCAAAGATCACCATGTTCAGTAAAATGTTAGGTTTTTAAAAACACAGCAATTATAAAATTAAACTTTTTTTATTCCTAAAAACACGTTTTAAAAACATGACACCTAAAAATATTAAGAGGTTTGAAGTCCTGAGGTCTCTCTGGTAACAGACCCCTGCAGTCAATATTTACATTATTATTAGTTTTTTTTTTACTTTTGATTTTGTATTCCTCCATATTGGGGGCTGTGGTAGCCCTGTGGTCAGTGCTGGGGTCTTGTAGTCTTGTGGCTCTGCAAGTTCAAGCCCAGGTAGCATCAAAGCAGTAGCCAGCATAAAACAAGTGCCAGATCTTTTATGCGAGTTCGCTCACTGTGGAGACCCCTAAAGCAGGGAGCAGCCAAAAGAAGAACAGCACTGTATTCCTCCATATTCAGGCTTGTCCTTTACTCACAGTCCAGGCATGATGTAGGCGATGTTGTCCAATGTGTTTGACTGGGAAAAATAAAAAGAAACGTTGAGGAAGCAGTAACAAAAAAATGAACGGAAGACTTTTATTACCACCTATACACACAATACAAACAAGTACACAGRAAAAYACTGAGTTATTTACACTATCTATCCAGGATAGATCRTGTGTCCAGGAAAAGCACTCAGAYCTCCCTCGTCCCAGGGACCATCCAGCTCCAATYGGTGGACCCTGARGCGTTCCCAGACCAGAGAAGATACCTAATCCTTCCAGTGAGTTCTGGGACCGTGACTCAAYTCAGGGGTTGTATCCTCRGAGRCCACACCCTTCAAAGTCTGGGTAGGCTGAATAAAACAGCTTGGATAACGAACGTCTGTGTGACCACGCACTACCCTGTTACCATGGTGTTATCTTTTGTATCACATCACCCATAAATGCATAGAAATTAAAATGTGTTTTCACAAGAGGTATAACTTCCCAAAATTCAATGTATTTTTAAAAACTTTACACAAAAATACACAAAAGACATTAATATTTGGGTTTAGCTTCAATTTCAGCACTAGGCTTTATATTTGTATTGTAAAATGTTATTTTAATGCGTCTCCAGTTGCTGTTTAGGTTTTTAATAAATTGTATTCTGTTTAATTTTACTCAAGGCTTTCACTGTTCATGTTCATTGTTATATGTTAAAGGTCTTAATGGAGATTAAGTTAATGATCTGCTCAAAACATGCTTTGTAACTGTACATAAGCCTGTTAGATTTGTCTAAGTGCTGGAATACCGTCAGCTGTGAAGGACACTCAGATGCAGCATTTGTTTTKGGGGTTTTGTGGRCCGCATGAGAAGGAGCCCACAAAATGGGCCAGCTTTGGGCACGGTGACCTAGCTGGCCTAGAAATGTGCACTCTGTGAGCGGCAACCCCTGAATTGAGACACAGCCGGAGTCTGCCTCAAGGCCTCTTATCAGTGGGACGTGCCCAGAAAACCTCCAGGAGCGAGTGTCCTAATCAGACGCCTGAACCACCTCCACTAGACTTCCTCCCCTTTACTCAGATGATGCTGATATTAGCCTCAATGGTTTCAACACAACAACAAATTTTATGTCTGAAAAATACAYATTATTTGAAGTGCTGTTATGAACATTAACTTCCAAACAAAACTGAGAAATTAAAACAAGATCATTGCAAGTTTTTTTTTTGCAAGTGTGCCAAAAAAAATCAACCCTATTATGAAAAACCAACTCATTTTAGTGGGGTTCAGCAGCACATTACAACCAGTAATAACAGTAATAATAATGATAATAATAATGTTGTAAAAGTGTGTTGTTAATCAAAAYAATAGTCACATAACTACTTAAATTATTGCAAGTTAAAAAACACTCAAAATTATTGTAGTTTTATGAGATATTTAGAAAAATATGAATACTGTACCAAGACGTTTCGAGGACATCCATTTAACTGTGGTATCTGTGCTGTGAGACAGGTCAACGGGCCCAGTGCGCACAAGATGGAGTCCAGAAGGACAGACAAACTCCCAGAGACCGCCACCATCCCCTGACACAGCAGAACATGCGTCAMATTTACACACCCCACTCACATTACACCTTTCAGCTGAAACTGAGGCGCGGGCTTCTTTCAGAATTCTCAGCCCAAATTCAGAGACTCACTTCTGTCTCCTGCAGTCGATGGCCAATCAGAGACAAGGACTCTCCGAGCAGCTGCAGGTGAGCCGCCGCGTCGATGGGGTCCACGTCTGGCACTCGAGCCGGAGACAGGGACATGGTGCCGGGAGCTCTGGTTGGTGATACAACTCCTGCTGCAGTTCCTATGACTTTGAAGATAAAACATAATTTAACAAGCATCGAGCCGTGCTGCTCAGAGAAAATAAACTGCTTACAACAACTACAGAACCTTGAGCTAAAGTCAAATAATACCTTTGCTTTTGCTATCGTTGGTGGTCTTGTGTTTTATTGTGGTGGCCTCAGCTTTGTTCTGTTTGTGCTGCAGATACTGAGCTTTCTGCCTCCACACCTGAGCAGAGGGAACACACACGCACAAACATGTTGAATCCATCGTTACAACTGCAGGAGTAAAAGTTATATTTGTTGCAAAAGTAGACAGAACAAAARCATACTAGTTTGTCCTTCTCTGGCATGGCCTTCCACACCTCTGCCAACTTCCTGCTCAGCTCGCCGAAATCTGCAGAGAAAATATACAAAATATGATATATCTGATAAAACGACTGTCTCGATACAAATTACTCTACACATCAACACTTCACTGACCTAATCCTGGTTGTTCAGCATTTATGTTGACCCTGTACTCTTTACAAAACACCTGATAGGCTGTTGTGGTCTTCCTCTTGGCCTAGAGGAATTAAAAATAATTGTCAAAAAGGACGAAAYTGCCAAAACTACAAGACTAAGGAGTGAACAGCCCTTCACCTTATCTTTCTCCTTCTCGTGCTTTTCTCTGTCTTTATCCTCTTTCTTCTTCTTCTTCTCTGTAGCTCCATCACTGCTGATGTGATGAGGAGTGATGGGTTTGCTCATGGCGTACATCGGACCAACAGCACTGTGAGTGACAGTAGCATGGGAGTGGCTGTGGCTTCGGGATGAGTCTGGAGCAAACAAACAAAACTGAAGGTTTCAGGGGGAAAAAACTATCAGTGTTTTTCACTAATCTGCAATTTACATAACAATATAAATACAGGACATATCACCAAAAACTGCGTAAACTGTTTGGCTTAAATGTTTGCATTTATGCGTTTTTTTTCAATCACACAGAAGCTTGAAGTGTTTGACCAATCACATGGAGCACTTCCTGCATTTGGCCAAGCGGRTGGATCTCTTACATTAGAAACCTGCCCCATACATAGACGCAGGTAGACAGAAAACAACTACCGGTAAGTAAGCTTAGAAAGCAAGACATGTAAGGAAAATGTTAGCAACAAAAAACGTGGTAAAAAAAAAACAGACCGTCTCTTATTTGGAGCTATATTTTTATATATATAAAATTTTAAAAACTGACAGTAAGGGGTATTTTTCAGTACTTAGAGCATCAGAAAATGTTTTATGGTGGTGAGGTTTTTAAGTCCTTAAGAAACGGTATTGAATACAGTTTTGTTGTTTCACTGCTAATACAGCAGCTAGTTGCACTTCTCTGAAATAAAACTGTCATGTCGAAATGGAAATGATCTATTACGGTAGTTGTTTTGAGCAAAAACACCTCAACACTTAAGTATTTGTTCCTTTATCACAAGTCATATCGTCATCACAGTATTAAGCTCTGTTATTGCAGGTCTTCCTGATATTCTGCAGCCCTAACCTGCAACACATTTTTTACATATTTTAAGATGGCAGCAATCCAATTTGGTCTTGAACATGCTTAGGCAAGCCATTAACTCATTATTTCAGTCAGAGTTAAACTCTATTTTTCAAAGTGAGGTTGTTGAAAAAGCTATTTAAATAAAATAATAATTGTTCAAATCTTTTCCACATGATCCTGAAGAAATTTATTGGGGTTTGCTTATAAACTGATTTTAATTACACTACACATGGTATATTCTTTTTATTAGAACAGTAATATTTTATAATGTTATTTGTTTGACTTGATGATTTTATGCAGATTCATGCCTGAACACAGATTCAACATGTAACTGAACCGTTGGTCTTCATTAGGCCAGAGAATATTGTGTGAGGATATGACTCCAGCAGTGTTAGGGGCCATTCCTGATGATGCAATAAAATAGGCGGAGTCATATCCTGAAGTTTTTGTTGTATTGAAATGACTTCCTGAAAACAAGGCCTGAACGCAGACTCAGAATAAACTGCCTTCAGCTCGAGCGCTCTGTGTGGTGTTGTATGAACTTTTTTACATTCAATATCCATGTATTGGTCCATTTTCTGTTTCGCTCAAGCATATAAAATGGTAAACGAACACGTTTAACAATTTTCTTTCAATCCCACTTGAAAACTATACCTTTAACAACACAAACATTGTTCTGCAATACAGAACAATACAATAATACTGTAAGTTGGAGAATAACTAGAATGTTGCAGAGCTTTGTTTTGCTTTTAGAAGAGTGAAAACTGATGGTAGACAGTGTATGAAATCTGGATGCAGACATCTCTCTTGTTAGTAAAAGAGAATGAATGATTGTTGTCCTCCACAGGTGTTGAGTTATTTATTAACTGTTCTCAAAGCAAGCTGTGACGATGACAGCTGCAGATACTCTGTACGTCAGTCAGTTTTGGAAAAAGAAAAAACTGTTTTAACAAAGAAGTTTAAGATCATAATAACTCATGTATTGTTCTGCTGCTCTAAGATCACAAATACTTAGTTTTTGTAAGTAATTAATCAAGTAGATTGCAAAAAGTGCAAGGCTTTATAGAAAATATTAGTGTCAGAGAGCACATGGTTTACAGAAATTTTCTATGTATAAAAATCAAATGGAAATGTCAGTAAAACATTATTAACAGCAGACTTTGTTCCCAAAATGTCAAGTTTTAGTACTAAAAAGAACTATGCTTAAAAAAATAAGAATTATCCTTCAATTTTGACATTAACTCACCACCAAATCCTTTGCTGTGTTTCTTGTCCTTCCCACTTTTGTCCTTGTCTCGGTCTTTTTCTTTGTCCTTTTTCTTCTTGCTTTTCTTGCTCTTCTTTTTCTTCTTCGACAAGTGGGTATATGAATCATCTATAACCAGTTCACCAGCCTCCAGTTCCCCCCCAGATGAAGAGCTGTCATCCCCCATGCCACCTCCATAATGGCCTGCACAGGGAAGAAATTAACACAGATAAACACAACTTCAAGCTCTACGTATGAAATGGTAACATCAGATATTGTGTACTATATGCATTAAGTTTTTTTTACCTTCTACCTCCACCTCCTTCCCTACTACAGGCAGTGGGTCTCTGTTCTGCTGCAGCTTCTTCTTAGGTGGCTTTGTCTGCTGCATCCTCTCTCTATCTCTCTCTTTCTTTCCACCACTTTTGGATGAGTGTGACGTTACCGGGAAGCTCTCCGGTTCCTCTTTCTCTGGCGACATGATGAGCTTCATTTTCAGCCCGTCAGCCTCCCGTAAAGTCAGCGGCTCCTCTTTGGGAGCTCCGCCGTGAAAGAGAGACGACTTCGAGGAAGAGGATGAGTGCTTTTTGAACGAAGATGAAGATGAGGACATGGGGCGGGACAGCGAGGCAGAATGGCTGCCTTTGCCTCCACCTCCACCGCTGCTGCCACTCTCACGTTTGCGCTCCTTGGAGGAGTGAGAGGAAAAAGACGGATAGGACGGTTTCTTGTGCAGGTGGGGGCTGGGGTCTGAACCGGTGGCCATGGGAGAGGTGATGGCCTGCAGGAGGCCCATCGCTGTGTCTGTCGAATGTGACGATGAAGGGGAAGAAAGAGGCGGTGATCGGTCGACAGACTTGTGCTTTTTCTTATGGGAAGGTGGAGCTGAACCTTCGTGGTCTGATGAAGGCAACAGAATACAAAAATCAAATAAACTTAATAGGAAATTGGGAAATAAAACCTTTCTATAGTATATTTTAATCTTTGTTTGCATTTCTAAAAATAAAACTTCTCACCCATGTAGTAGTAGTCATCACTATGCTTCTTCTTCTTCTTGTGCATGTCTCTGCTCATCATAAAAAATTCTGAATCCTAATATGAATTATCACAATTTATACCATTGTAGTAAGCATCAAAGCCAAATTTAAGTGACTGAGGACAAATAACTAACCTTCGGACGTTTCTTTGAGGACTTTCGGACCTCAGCAGCAATTTCCTCCTCCTCTCGTAATAGATCCTTGTACGACCTCCTCTTCTCTCTCTGACTACGACCGGCCACAAGTCCTCCTCCGTCAGCCCCCATATCTAAAATATAACATCCATGAGGATACTTTTGACAAGGTGCGCATTTCACTGATGCATTTGTCATCCTCTTCAAGTTGTCTGTTTAGATATGCAGTAAAGAGGACCTAATCGTAGTTTTGTGTAAAAGCTCAAGTATGTTTTACCTTTTAATTCCTCATAAGCCATGGTTTCTTCTGTACTTGTCTTGGGATTTGGTGGTCAACATGAAGTACATTAGTGCCCTATCAAGCAAACACCAGAGTAAAAACAGTGTTATCAACAAATGCAAATAACATGACCAAAAACAGAAAAGTAATGAAAAACCAAGGCATTYATRACAATTACTTGTGTAGAAAGATGTTRGTTATATCATGTGTGACTAGTCTTTACCTGGTTCTCCAAGCAGAATAATTTCTGTCAGTAATCTGAATGGACTCAACAATAAGTATTGCTGCTTGAGTCTAGGGTAATATCATCAATTAATGCAATAGTTTAGTCAATAATCTGTAAGCCTGTGCAAAAGTTATAATTAAAAGTATTCCCGCCTACTTTCGTAAATATACACAAACACACCCCCTATCTTTTCACTTCGACAATGAATCTCCGGCTTTTCTACGAGTTCTGGACGTTATTCCGAGTTTCTAATCAGCGTTCCGGCAGGAGCGGGTCAGGAAACACCGAGGCTTTGCGGTCACAGAAAGGCCGAAATCGCTATGAGTGTACAAAATACYACAATAAGCTAACTTTATGTGTTTAGGCTCATTCTTGTTCATGTGCAATTCAAAAGCATAAATAAGGTGAAGAATAAAACATTTTTTTCAATACCTCAATGGCATATCCAATTTACGCGGGTCCAGCCGCCATCTTTTTTGTCGGCAAACAATGTTTTAGCACAAAGGGGCGGAGATTTTGACAACGCAGCCAATCAGCCAATCAGAAATGAAAGCAAAGGCTGCAAAGTTCTCCTTTAATACATAGTAATGAAATGTACATCTTGTAAATATGTACTTATACAAAATATACAATAAACAAAGACAGAATGGCATTAACAGCGAAGATATTTATTTAATTATTTAAATTTATGTTCGTCAACAGCAGTCTTTACAATACAGACCCCAAAAAACATAGAAAAGGGTGGCAACATATTAAAAGACACTTGATGGAACAAAATAATGCAGTAAGAACTTTCAAATAATTTGCTTTATAATTATCACAGTTTATTTAATAATCAAAGGCAAAAAGAAAATGAGAAAGCACACAGATACACACTTTTAATCACACTCTTACACACACACATTAAGAGTCAGGGTCCCACTGTCCTGATTTGCCACGGGTGGTAAAAGCTCTCTTATCTCAGTTAAAATAAGGCGTGCAGTTGTCCAACAGAGCCATGCTTTATCTAATCACTGAGTCTGGAGCAGACTTTCCCATCCTAATGTTTCAGGTTGTACACTTAAAAATAATAATAAATCAGGACTTCATTTCTATATACAGTTCATTTTTACCTATCACCCAAATTCTGTTTCTGCAGACTTAGTGACGTAAAACTGGCGAGTAAATCAGTCACCTCATCCACCTGAAAGAGAACAAAAAGAAAAAATAAAATAAAAATAAAAACAGACAACTACGTAAGGGCTGGTGAAACAAAAYCAATCTAAGTTCTAGTTTATTTACTAGTAGGTTTAAATGCAAAACAAATTCACACATTGTGATCATAAATGTTCAGTCATTGAAGTATTTTGCTCAGCTCTTACCTGCTCTCTGGTGCGTGTGTGCTGTAGTTGTGTTGAAATGTGCTCCAGCCTCTCTTTAGCTTCGCTCTGACCCATTAAGTTCAGGTATTCTCGAAGCATCTGAATAATCTGGTGGCAAACAAACAATGATCTAGATGAGGACACATTCAAGAATATATCTGGTCATAATCGTGATTAACTAAACCATAAAAGCTATCTCCTTCTGTACCTGTAAGACTTCCCCTCTCAGGGTCTCTAAGCTGCGTGATTCTCCGTCTTGCAAAATGTTCAGTTTGGAACGAGCAAGATGAAGCGGGGTCCTGCCTGCTCGATCCAGGGCATCCACACGTGCTCCTGAACAGAAAGAGTAAGGAATTTCTTGTTCACACTATTAAAAATAAGTATTTGCCATTTCTAAATTGTAATAAATATTTTATTATACCATTTACAGAAAAAAATGTTGAGCATGTCGAAATTTAAACAATGTTTGAACAACGATAATAACTATTTTATTACACATTTCAAAGTTTATAAGATGTATTGTGTGATTTTGAGCACTGGAGATTAAATTTCAAATAGTTTTAGAACCTTTTTTTTCAGTATGTCCTGAAGTAATTTATGCTCTTTAAACAAAAAAGTCTTACCTCCTCTCAGCAGTGTGGTGATTACAGGCACATGGTTGGTACAGGCCGCTGCAGGGACACACAAGACAAACACAAAACTGTATTTCCCTTGAATATTTGTCAAATTGACTTCAACAAATTGAAATGTTACAGTATGTCCAGGTGTTACAGGGCAGGACACTTCTCTTACCCAGATGCAGGGGGGTGTTCCCCAGGCTGTCTCGCTGGTTGGGGTCAGCACCGTAGCTCAACAGTAACTGCACTGTAACATAAAACCATTTGAAAGGAAGGTTTGTTACGTTTAAGTCTCTTCTTGAGGGGTCTAAAATGGAGTTAAGAAATTTAAGTAAGTAAAGTTTATTTATATAGCACCTTTCATAGACATAAAATCACGAAGCGCTTCACATAAAAAGAATACAAACAAGAAAGTAAAATAGTAAATTAAAACATCACCACAGCATTACAATTCATACAAGAATACAAGTAACAAAAAACATTTAGCTAAAAGCCTGTTTGTAAAATAAAGTTTTCAGATGTTTTTTAAAAGCATCAATGGAATCAAGGCTGCGCATAAGTTCGGGCAGTGCATTCCAGAGCCTAGGTGCAACTGCTTGGAAAGACCGATCCCCTCTGGATTTGAAATGTGTGCGGGGTACCACCACCAACATCTGACCTGATGACCTCAAACTGCAAGAYGGTGTGTGAAGCTGGATCAAATCTGAGAWATATGATGAGGCTTGACCATGTGAGGCTCTAAAAGTTAAAACCAGAATTCTAAAATGAACTGGGAGCCAGTGAAGARAAGCCAAAACAGGTGTACAGATGTGAGCACGTTTGTTTATGTTAGTTAACAGTCGAGCAGCTGAGTTCTGAACAACCTGAAAACGGTCGAACTCATTCTTGTTTAAAACAAGTGAATAGGCTGTTACAATACTCCAAACGAGAAGAAATAAACACAGGAATGACCATTTCAAGTTCAGCTTTTGACAGGAAATGTTTAAATTTTGAGATGTTCCTAAGGTGAAAGTAACAGTTTCTTGTCAGTTGTTTTGCATGTTATTTCAGAGACATTGCAGAATCAAAAATGACACCCAAGTTTCTGAGGCTGGACTGAACAGATGGACCTAACACACCAATAAACTGTTCAGTCTGAGCAACCTTATTTTCTGGCGCAATAATCAGAGTTTCGGTTTTATCACAGCTCACTTCTGTGTAAAATACAGCATAGACTACAGAAACCTGCTACAAGAACTGTTGGAAGGTGCGTTCTTTGACCCACTTATTTCCTCTTCAACTTCACAGGGGATATTTTAACACCTAAGTACGAACTCGGTAGGAAGGTTGTGTTTTTCAAGCGTTTGACATTTCTGCTCTTCTGYTGTGCAAGCTGCAGTGGCTGAGACGGTTCAAGAATGAATGTAAAAGAAAGTGATAATCATTTCAGAAACAAGCATACTCACAACAGTATCTAATACACCCGGCAGTAAGTTGTCAGAGTAAATGAAATGCAAACGCATGAATTCCACTCACACAACAATCCAGGATACATGTGTCTGTTTATACATGACTGCGGTGGATTGAAAGGTCAGTTTGATTGATAATGATGCCCATGGTGTTTTCCCTGCTCCAACACACCTGATTCAGTTAGTGAATTACCTCCTCCAAGTTCTGCAGAAGCMTGATAATCATCTATTCATTCAAATCAGGTGTGTTGGAGCAGAGAAACAAGTAAAACATGCAGGGCTGCAGACCTCCAGGACTGTAATAGAGTATCCCTGCCTCATATGATGTGAACAAGGAAGTAAGTTGTAGAAACAAACACTAAAATTAAATAGATACTTGTTGATTCTCCCACTGTTTAAGTAAATGCTTACAATTGATCCCAAAGTATACAAATATAAGACTGTATCTAAAATTCAGTTAATCTGCAGCTGACACAAAGCCCTGCTTGAAAGATGTAAAATGAACAGACTTTGAACAGATGTATTTCCTTGTTTCACAGTGTCCGCTTACCATAAAGAAAAACATCAGTAAATCAAATAAACGACTATGTCTTTCTTGTTGTTTTCCACTGTGGTTAGATTTAAAGGCATAAATGAAGGAGCTACTAGCTTTTTTTTACATGAGCTGAACTTTACTTGGATTTTAGTGAAGATGCAAATAAAATAATCCCTCAGCTCGTTGAAAAATGCTGCACAGGTTAGAGAAACTTTGATTAAAATTAGTCATTTTCAAACAAACMCAACGTTTAACTTTCTCTGAAAACTGGACATCAGTTTAGGCACAAAACATAAAAACAAAGCTTTCTTATTACAGTGTTTAATGTTTAACTACAGCTCATACACATCCTGTGTAGTGATGTAAAAACTGCTGAGCGTGGTCAAAAACAGATGAATACTTCTCTGTATGTTTCAGCTTGTGGAACAGGTGGTGCAATAAAAAGGCTCCTACTCCCAAAAAGTGGAACCAAACTACAGTRAAGAGCACAGTTGTTGTTTGCACTCTTTAAAATAAAAACACTAACAAAGTTTTTTTTAATGGTTGAAACAAAGCTTCTTTAATAGCTCCATAAATGGTCTCACTGGATTTGCGCAGCCTTTTAAAAAAAGATACATTTGCCAGCTGAGATTGCACAAGTTTGAAACATTTTTTTTTAAAAAACACAAAAGTATCAAGTGCTTTAGTGTTAAAATCAATAGTTTTTTTGTTTTTACTGCCTGTTTTGAGCCACGTGTTCATACTTTAATTGAATCGCACAAATGTTTGTTTTAACGTAACCAAACACGTCAAATGTGAACATGGTTAGGTTAATACTGAAGAAAAAGCTTATGAGGTGAAAGATTAGTCCTTTAACTGAAAATACAGTGTTGTGAATTTCACTGGAAAGCATTTCATCATTAATAGGTAATGTGACTACATGCGGTTCAAATCTACAGGTCCAATTTGTAAGATTAACAGCGGCAGGTCCATGGTTGTACTGTAATGTGGTTAATTTGCACTAAAGTTGTTTATCTAGAACAGTTTTATCTCATATATTGCATATTTTAACCCAAGCATGATTTTATGGTAATTTGTCTTTTCTCTTACGTCGACTTTTATATATTTCTTCTTGATTTGTATTATTTTACAGACAACTCTCAAGGAAAATGGCGCATTGAACCAAGGTGATTCTAAAAAAATGTCTTAAGCTGTAGACATACATCCAGTGATTATTTTCAAAAAATTTAATTTCAGATATTTCTGTGTCGAAGTGGCAGTCGACTCCAACAGTTTATGCTAAAGTCTTTAAAACCAATCTGTTGCAAGAAGTTAGTGTTGAAGTTGGAAAGGACTCTCAGCTACTACCACAACAAATTTGAGTACAGAATCTGTAAAACTGACGGTGGTGTAACTATTTTTTTTGTGTTTGCTAAGGCTACGTAACTGCGGCAGCTATTTCTAATGGGGTTGACTCTAAAAGTTTAATCAGCAGCAGATGTACGTTCAATTATTACTTCAGAGTTTCATCAAAAGTCCTCCAGTGGTTCATGAGATATTTTGCTGATGCTACAGATAAACAAACACGCACAGACACAATTTAAAAAAAAACACTATCATCTTTACTTTCAGCAGTGGGTAACAAAAATCTAGAGGTGACACGTTGATTCTGCAATGATATAAAACTTTAATTTGGGCCCCTTTTTTAAATTTATTGGTTGTTTTAAAATCACTTTGTTCGATGTTGCAACTAAAAATCCCTGTGAAGTGCATCTTTAATCTAAGAAACCCTTAATTTGAAACCCTTCAAATATCCTAAATTACATGTATTAAAAAGACAACATCACAAAGTCTTCTGCTGGCAGATGGTAACACCATATTTGGGGATATAATTTAAGGAAGGCCTAATGTATATTTTAAAAGATACCGCCCAACCCTAAATCAGAGCTGTTTCTAATGACCGTCACCAACTTACCAATGTTGTCGTTTCCATTGCAGGAGGAGAAATGAAGAGCTGTCCTTCCCTTGTCATCTGCTGCACAGGGGTCTATGTCATCTTCCAGCAGCGTTCGCACTAGACGAATTTAAGAAAATAACAAAAAAAGCATTATTAATTAGACTTTCCTCCCACTGCTCTGCAGATCATTTGCATACTGTACCACATTGTTGATACCTGTGTCGATATCATTGCTGTTGGCTGCTTCCCTCAGTCTTCTGACAGCTGTGAAGATAACAGGGATAAATATGTAGGAGCACTTTCATATTGGGTTATATAATAAGTCAATACATTATATTATATAGCTTTAAACAGGAACATCAGYAATATTTAAACATCTTTTCTTCTTATATGCCATTAAAAGCCAGTCTATTCTGTCTATTTTTTGTTTTATTATCTTTCAACTAAAGTTGCTGCAATTAACATAAATTAACACATTTAGATGTCCTGATGCATCTCAGTAATCCAGGTAAAAAAATCAAAAAGGAAAAAAATTGTGTAGGTCTTCTGGACGGGTTCTTCTCTAATGAAACGTTTCGTCTCTCCTCCAASAGACTTCTTCAGTCTGAGAGTTTCAGGCAAAATTCAGGCTTTTAAGCMCTGCCTCCATGTGACTGATACTCACATCACATGGCTATCGTTGACACCTAATTATCACCTATTGTTAACAGGGGCTGGAGTGATACTGGCAATAGCAGCACTGTAGGAGGGGGACAACTGAAAACGGAGGCCTCCACCTCTGTTTAATGATGGACGGTCTTTCCTCACAAAAATGGCTTCTTTTACTCCTCTCTCAAACCAACGTTCCTCTCTATCAAGAATGAGAACATCCTCATCTCTGAAAGAGTGACCGCTGGCCTGTAAATGAGTGAAAACTGCAGAGTTCTGGCCATTAGATGTAGCTCGTCTGTGTTGGGACATTCTTTTGAACAGTGGCTGCTTTGTTTCCCCGATGTATAACTGGTCGCAGTCCTCCTGGCACTTAACAGCATATACAACATTGCTCTGTTTGTACCGGGGCACCGGATCTTTGGGGTGAACCAGCCTTTGCCGTAATGTGTTTTGGGGTTTGAAAGCTACTGGGACATCATGTTTAGAAACACCCGCAACATACGGAATAACCACTGGTTACACATTTAGATACTAATTTTACAATGTCGGCAAGAAAGTAACCTTATATTTTGTGTGTTTGGGTCCTGACTTACCGTAGATATCTTTACCAATAGGACCCAGGTTCCGGACGGCTCGGTGGTGTCTTCTGGCTCGACTCCCCGTTATCTTCCCCAGCTTACTCGCCACACTACCCGAGTCGTCGTCACCTCGTCCCGGCTCCCACAACAAGTGCAGGTACCTGAGTTCTTTGTCGTCCCTCTGCCCGACTCGACCCAGAACCATTTTGCCCTCCCCGATACCGCTTATGCCGAAGCCGACGGCGGCAGCGGCGGCGGAACCCACGTCGTCCATCATCCTCCCCGCTTCTTCACCGTCCGCCGCTTCCCGGGTCTCACCTCTGGGTTCGTAGTCCCCTTCGGAGCTGGACAGGTCATTATCCGAGACAACCACGTCCATGTTTTACTGTGAGGTACGGGGAGTTTTACATGATACTGTCCTTAAAACTACTCCTGTCAAACCGAAAAAAATAAAACAAATATAGCTTTCAGCAGAACGAGTCAACTTAGACTGCATCGTGTTTACAGTCAGCGTCCATTACACGAAGCGTCGACGACACAATTCATAAAAACATTCCAATTATATAGTTTTAGATATAAAAAAATGAGATACGTTCGCCTTTACAACAGCAAAATGTCTCCTTTTTTAACAATTTACATTTTACCGTGATAAAATAGTAAGAGGAGCAGCCATTGTACAATCAACAACCACACATCGATAAGGACCAATCAGATTTCACGTTGTTTATTTGTTGCTGGCCAATAGGATCAATGCAACAAAGCAACCAATCAAAGTGTTTCAGTGTTTGACCAATCAGAGTTCAAATATCTGAGCATGCGCGCTATGATGTGAATAAAGTTTGCCTCTGTTAGAAAATAACTCATGAACCATCTTCAGAAACTTTTTCACAATACAAACTCTTAAGAACTACTTTTTGCACAAGAAACTTTAGCAATACTTAGAAGTCAACCTTGTTTGTTAGCAAAATATCTCAGGTATCACTGGATGGATTTGAAAGGAACTTTTAGAAAGTAATCACTAGATGTACATGTGATTACCATTTGGAGTAAATTTAATTCAAAATGACCTCCACAATTAGACAACACAAAAATGGCTGTAACTGTTTTACAGATATTGAGCTAAAATTTGGTACATTGCATTTCCATCATTTCTTTACAAAAATGAACTCAAATTCTGGAATGACAGGAGGCAAGTGATACGTGTTCCTTCAAGGAATGCTCAGTGTTTAATATTTTTTAGATAGATATGTTTATTTTTTTTTAAATCACATAAAAATGAATAATGCATCATAATTTGTAAAACCCAGCCCCAATCTACAGAGTTTTCTATAACACACAGTGTTGTAAATATAAATGTGTGAAGAATATAGGAGCTTTCAGGGGAAAAGTGCCTTTTGAGTAATAAGTAGTAATTTCCAACCTGCAGGTTTTAACATAAATACTGTAAGTCTTATAATAAGCTAGAGGGATGAAAGAATCAATGATAGATAAGGAAATACAAAATGTTTTCTGCACAGAGACTGACATTTTTTCCATGTAAAACCTTGAAAAAGAAGAAGTAAAGACAAGTCTTTAGATGACGTAATCAAGCAGTAAACCTTTACACCAGCTGAGGATGGTCTGTGAGAAAAAACAGCACTAGCTAAAAACTGGCTGGAAATCACTGATCTATGGAAATAGTTTCAAATATTTGGTCTTGTTGAGAGAACAATTTTTGGCGCAGGAGGTAGCAATTTGGAGAAACTCAAACAGCATCACACCAGTTTAAAAGGTCAAACATTCAGAARTCAAGTTTCAGTCCTGAAGACACGGCTGCTCCAGCTGGAGCCAGGTAGTGTGGGAATGCTGAGTTAGCCCCTGTTGTGCCGGTTGCACCCTGCTCAGCTGGCGTTAGTCCAGCATTGTGAACTCGCTCCCAGAGCTGATTATTGCGTGGGACGCCTTGCTGGTTCAAGTATCCCTGCTGACAAAAGAGCGGCGGCTTACGATGTGTGAGGGCTGCGTGGAAACAGGATTCTGACAGAAAGGAAACATAAACATGAGTCAAACACGTCAGTGATAAAACAAAACAAAAGAAAAACATTTATTATTTGTACAACTCTAGCAATATGTCCAAATTTTAACCCATTATCTGTAAAAGTGACTGAGGTATAGTCATTTTTGTGTTTGTTAATGTTGATCAGCTGTGACAACCTTCATGAACAGTCATTTTATATTGTATAGAGCACAGTACACTGAGGGTTTTAGAGGGGAAAAAATCCAAAGTTAGACAGAGACACACCGTTGCTACCACTTTGTTCAAATAATTATCTCTTTTAGTGTGAATATTGTTTAAATATTGTTTAATTCCAAAAATCAACATAAACAGCCAATTTTACCAAGACAGGCTGCCCGCTGCTCCTCCCATTCTCCCCCACTCCTACTGTCTGCTACTGTCCAGCTAACTTTAGCTAATATTAGCATCTAACTGCAGGGCCGGTTCATTTTGAGTGGTGAAGGAATCAGTGAACATCTTTCTGCAAGCTTATCTTCTCTCACAGCTGGTTTTTGAAAACYTGCCAGCTTCAATATCATCTCCAGTTCTTTCGCAAACTTTGTGACAACCTGGAGTTGCACAGCCTTARTTTGATTGTTTTCACCTGTTTTTTTTCTCACCTCAGTCTACTTATTGATAATTCTGAGCACCTGTGTTGGCCACAGTGACTCACCCTTTAAGAGCCACCCTGCAAAATCAGTCAGTGTTGGTTAACTTGCTGGCAAGACCCAAATTGCAGCAGCTCTTCAAACCTGTGTAAACACTGATCCAGTAACAAGGTGTTTAATCCCTCCAAAATCTGAGGACAACTTTAATCAGTTGTGGAAGTTATGGAGCTATGCTGAAGCCGAATCAAACACAAAGAAAGTCTGCTGGAACCGACGCCCAAAAGCTTTGTGTAGTCATGTCGTTCCCCACTGCAGTAACTTCTCGTCAACACAAGCAAAACTAAAACCATAGAACTTAGACAAACCAGCTACTCTAAAAACTCACTCAACTACAAAAACTCCTTGGATGTGGAGTTTTTTTGTATGAGGTGTTTATTTTTGTGTAGGAGTGGGTTTTTTCCCTTCTCTTTGGATGTATTTGTATCAAGTATCACCTTGACATGCATCAACCTTCTTGCACTTGTAAAGACAAGTCAACCTCATTTTTGTGTGGAGTCAAGCCTCCTACAACTTCTTTGCTTGTTAGCCAAGCCTGAACTTTTGAAGAACAGTGGTTTTAACACCACACATCGACACTGGGGGTGGAAAAAGGGATATATTTTGTATTGTTTTGCATTTATATTCTATTTTGTTTTGTTCTATTTTTGTAAATATACTTGAGAAAACTATTTCATTTTTGTCTGTGCTCATTTCCTTTGTTAAACATTTTGTCACTGATTATTTATTTAAGGTTAAACGGGGTGTGTAGTTATATTTTATGTAATCTACATGTCCTGGTGTGATAGGTTAAAACCTAAAACTAATTCTAAACCATATATTAATAACAGTTAAACATCATCAGCTGGTTAAAACATATAAGTCAGGAGGGAGACCTGACTGGCGCCCAACAACAATTATTCAAAATTAGTAGCAATAAACCCATCAAAAACAGGAATCGTCAAAACTTGTTCTAACAAATATATTCTTTTATTTTGAGCACAGCTTCAACTTCTGCTGTAATTAGGGCTGCCACAAATGATTATTTTTATAGTCGATTAATCACCGATTATTTTTTTCCGAGTAGTCGACTAATCAGATCATACGTTAATTGAATATACAACATAGAGCTTATCGCGCCAGAATGCAGCTGCTATTATATAACCATCATTAAATTTTAGCTATATGCTAACTAAAAATAATTGCTGTGGAAGGCAGGTTCTGCTCTGCAGATATTGCACAGGTTTCTCTTTCATGTTCTTAAAATGATCCCACACTTTTGAGCTCCGTTGTCAGGTAGCCATGATACCAGAGCCTGTCTGTATAATGTCTTGTGACGTCCACGGTCTACCCCAGTTACCACTACTGTGCATGTGTGTCAAGGACAGAAAGGCAGATGTGGCAGTGGAAGGTGTCAAAGCAGTTTGAAGAGAAAAACAAAGTAAAGAACAAAAAAAAAAACAACGACTGATCGATTATTAAATTAGTCATCGACTATTTTAATAATCGATTAGTTGTCGACTAATCGACTGATTGTGGCAGCCCCTTGCTGGAACTGAATTAAAGTTTTGTTGAGACCCGAGTTCCGCCCCCCACGCTTTATCTGATTGGCTAGTAGGCCTCAAAAGTGTTTTTATAGTGAAAGCTGCACCTCTTTTAGGCCCAGAGAAATGCTTGTTAAAGGGCCTGTGACATGCTTATCCTTCAAATACAAAAAGTCAAAGAAAACAGCTTTGTTCTTAAGAAAATTGGCATAATACAAATGATTTTACACATTTTGTCTCATAACTGGCCCATTTTCTTTTGGATTTGGCTCAGCCAAAGTGAAACAGGAAGTGACATCAAAGGGAAACTCTTTAATAAAATAAACTCTCTGGTCTTTGTTTATTAAAACAATATTATTTAAACTATAACTCTTCTTCATCTCTCTTTGATAGAAACTCAAAATAATCTAAACAAACATCAGATTCTTCTCTACCGTCTCTGTTAGCTGTTGTAACAGCGCTCTGTTTACATGCTGACATTCCCCTATGACATCACTTCCTGTTTCTTCACATGCAAATATCTCAACAACTGTTCATCTCAGTGGCATGAAATTTGTTTTGCCATATTTTATCAATGTTATCTTTCAAAAAATGCATTCATGTTTATTACAAACAAAATGATGTCACAGGCGCTTTAAATCTCTGGTCAAATTCAGTTTATTCATTGTTTTCAACAGCTACGATTAGCCGGAGTGCTATCAGCCCTGGAAGATAGATTTACAACAGGTGAGGTTGTTCTTAAACTTTCCACAGAACCCCACTTTGAAAGGCTTGAAGCATCACGTTAATATCTTGCTTTACCTGCATAGAAGGCTCTGAGGTCAGTTTGAATGCAATGCTCCAGGAAGCGTCGCAGTGGCTGGACGTGAGACATGGGACCGTCCCACTCTGTGAGGAAGTCTTCAACCATGTGATGAATGGCCTCAGGTCTTGGTAAAGGCCAGCCCTGGGGGCGCCTCTTCATCTCTTCCTCTGAGAACGAACGAATGAATAAATGAACTCCTGCACTCCAGCGTTTCGTTTTAAAACTACAGCTTTCTGATGCCAGCAGCATTTATTCTCACCGGTCGGGAGGGTTTTGTAGTAGTACAAAACAGGGTGAAGAAAGTTGGATTGCCAAGCTCGGGTCCAGTCTGTCTCTGCTCTGCCGCGCCCAAGATAGTCGATCTTCTTCTTCCCATACTGCATGACGACCACGATCAGTCCGTGGCTGGAAACCTCGTGGCCAGAAAGCGAAGTAAAGTGGGGCAAGGCCTGAACAAGGAACTCCTCAACATACTCACAGTGAGAGCTGAAAGACCAGCAGAGGACAAAAAACATACAAGAACAGAGAAAATGATGTAAGCATTTGTTTTTGGTGAAACAGCCGAGTAACATAAGGTGTCTTCAAGTAATTTGACCTATCAGATGAGCAGTATCCTATAAAACAAGTCAACAAAAGGAGTGGTTAAAAAATAATAAAATAAAAGTTTAGGTCAATTTGTTTTTCCTGTACATCTTCGAAAAAGTAAAGCAGGCCGCAAACATAATTTTTTAAATAAAAAAATAATCTATGATATATACACCATCGTTTATTCACATTACTTAAAGAGTAACTAAAGCCAAAATCAACTTGTTTTGCAAATAAATTTTCTAAATTGGGCCTTAAGGGTATTATCTTTACGTTTMTGTGCAAACTTTGACATTTTCATGTAAATTTGTTCGATCCTGCAGTATTTTGTCTAAAACCAATTAGTGMTGCCCACTAAGGGTTGAGTGGTGGCTACTGCAGTTGAGTTGATTTTTCCTACAGCTTGGCACATGCTGATGCTGCCTTCCATTTACATGTTTTCCCAGAACTGGTAAATGGTAGTGACGTCATTTCCCAACAAACCATATGAAACTGCATTCCAGTTAGTTGACAGATGATTGTATTGCTGCCACTAACCTAGCTACAACACTGCTACAATATAAACAATGACAAAAAGGGAGCTCTGCAATGTACGTCATGCAAATAAACACTGATTTTAATACGTACAGTATTACACAGAAAACACACTACTTGTCCAAGTGATTAAACATGCACAAAAAATTAAGAAAGATAATTAACAGTTAAAGTTACTGAGTTAACTTTCTAAAGCTGCGAGTAGCTGCCATCTTGAAATCGAAACTGGGGGCAGTTTCATTTCTTCCACTATACGAGTGGAATATTACGACTGGAGGGGGCGTTCCAGTTTAAATCTACCAATGGGAACAGGGAAATTACCATTTCCCAGGTCTACTGGAACGCAGCACAATGCTACAACTCCCTGACTCAGAGACACAGTCCTGCAGTGAGTCAGGAGTTGGAACAGCGAGCACTGTGATGAAAGTGTGTTACTGTTTAGAACATTAGCCCGTGTTAGCCACGATGCTGCTAACATCACTTTAACACTCAGAAACTGGACCCATTCTGTTCTCTACTGCATCGCTGAGTCAGCCCCTTGAGCCAGCAGCTCGATCAAGGCTCAGACTCGCTGGGCTCCACTGCCTCCCTCCACCTTTGATGAGGTTGTCCTCCGTGTTTCAGCAGAGCAGCCTCTAAGGAAAGACAAGAAAAGGCTCAGCTGGAGAAAGAAACAACTTCTGCTCACCCTCTTAGGAGTATTACATCCCCGAGCAGCTCAAACATTTGGTACGGTCCAGAAGCCTCGCCGACCCGCCTCAGAATCCATGACAGCAACTGGGTTGTCGGGAGTCTGGTTGATAACCACCGGTTGCCATGGTAACGGTGTTCAAGTACTCGATGTACAGCTCTGGCTGGAGGGGAGAAAAAAATGCTGCCTTTTTAAAAAATAATGGCATAAAACAAGTCGACATCACCGATATCCATCCATCCATCCATTTTCTGTACACACTTCTTCCTTCTCAGGGTTGCGTGGGTCACTGGTGCCCATATCCAGCAGTTACAGTGCGAGGGGCGGGGTACACCCTGGACAGGTCGCAAGTCCATCACAGGGHCACACAWAGAGACAAACGAGACAAACAACCATTCACTCTCCCACTCACACCTAGGGACAACTTAGAGTTATCAATGAACCTAACAGTCATGTTTTTGGTCTGTGGGAGGAAGCCGGAGTGCCCGGAGAGAACCCAGGCATGCACGGAGAGAACATGCAAACTCTACCCAGAAAGGTCCCTGGACCGGGATTTGAACCGGTGACCTTCTTGCTGAGAGGCATCAGCTCTACCAACTGAGCCACCATGCCGCCAGACAACACCGATATCTGTCATTAAACCCAAATTTGTGTTGAATGCCCCGTTTGCACTATACCTGATTTATTCTTGAACAAACATGTTTCTTTTTCTGTCCAAATGTTCTAACAGAAATGCTGACATGTCTACGCTGCACCACTAGGTGGCAAAAATGTTCACACTAAATAAAAACAAGTATCTGCAGAGGTTTGGTGTTCGCTGTAGTTAATCGGTTGTGGCAGCCATCTTGAACTGAGTTGGCTTCAAAAATTAATCAGGCCAAGTCCACACGAAAACACAAGTTTTATAAACAATCATTTTATTGGTCCAAGAATCTCATTCACACAGCACCGTTTCTAGAAATGTCTCCATCGTCATGAGCATTGATCTAAAATACTGTAGTAACCATGTCAGGTCCAAACATGGTAAACAAGGTGCGGAGCATGCCTATGAAGCTTCCACACTGGGTGCAGAAGGTAAACACAGCAGAAGAGGATAACCTCAGGACATAGGTTAGATTACAGRAGGGGCTATGACATCATTAGCTATGTTTACATGGACATAAGTAATCGGATTAAACTGCCATTTGGAATAAAAATGTGTCATGTCAACACCCCATTCAAATTATTCTGACCCGATTCAGCTCGATCCGAATGCATTTGTAATCRGAATGAGAGAGGTGGTTTATGCCGATTGATAATCCGAACAGTGTGCATGTAAACACTCCCATGTAAACAATACATTCAGATTATTTAATCCAAATACATTTCAATCCGATCAAAGAATTTTGCAAATGTAAACATAGCTACTGTTTTCATGTGTTTATTGGTATACAAGAAAATGCAAGGGTGGCATTTCAAGATTCTATTTACTCTGAAACCAATAAATGCTGTTTCAGGGCTCTTAAAACCCTGTGGTGACGAAGGCTAAAACTAACCAAAGTTTCTGCAGATTTATAAAAACATTCCTGTAGACGGTGCTTGAGTTTTCTAATTGAAAACTCCATTTGTGTGTGGATGCAAGAGGCAGATGCAGAATAAAATGTCTGAAGTAGTGTAAATAAGGCCTACATCAGAGGTGTTCAAACCTGTTCCCACTGTCCTCCATGTTTTGGCAGTTTCCCTGCTTCAAACACACCTGACTGAAATGAGTGAGTGATTGGCAGGCTTCTGCTAAACCTGATGACATTCTGAGTCAGTAATTTATTACTTGAATCAGGTGTGCTGAAGCAGGGAAACAGCTAAACCAAGGAGGACGGTGGGTCACGAAGAAAAGGGTTGAAGACCTCTGGCCTAATTTATAAATATATAAAAGATCTTAACAATTGCTGTTTGTTCAAAGTGTCAATAAAAACCTGGACCTTCACCTGTGTAACGGAAGCCATGGATGAAACCACCGGCAGAAGCTCGGTAGTCTCTGGAGTGAGCAGCAGTTCCAAGAACAAACAACCCGGGGCTGTTCCTCCCCTCGTACCAGGCCGTCACCTCAGGCAGCCGGCCCTTTGCATTCTCACTGCGTGGTGGACAGGCAGACCTGAGGAGATTCAGCACAAACTAGTATTATTTAAAAATAGAAAAATAAAAATGCACTTTGGATGCTGAATGTTTAGCTGATTTGATCAAATTAAAACAAGCAAAAACTCAAACTAAAATGAGCTAAACCTAAATGCAGTTAAGCCTCAGCTTTAAGCTAAAACTGGCAGAACAGTAGCCACCAACTAAAATGGGCAAAGCAGTAGCTAAAAGCTAAAACCAGTAGAACAGTAGCTAAAAGCAACACAGGCAGAAAAACAACTCAAAGTTAAATTTAGCAAAACTGTCAATGGAAGACAAGAAAGCTAATATTCTTAAAACAAAAGCTAAAAACTAAAWGTAGCTACTGTAAATAGTGCCTGAAAACTAAAGGACAACAGTTGCTAAAACCTCAAACTAGCAAAAAAGTTACTAAAGTTTAAAATTATTTGACAATAGCTAAAAGCTAAACTTAGCAAAACAGTACGTAATTGCTTAAATGAGCTCAATAGCAGCTAAAAGTTAAAACTAGTAGCTAGAAACAACATGCTGTGCAATAACTCAAACCTAAATTTAGTGAAAGAGTGAACTGAAGCCAAAATGAGCAAAAATGTAGCTAATAGCCAGGACCAGAAAAACAGTAGTTAAAAGCTCAAATTAGCAGAACAGTAGCTAAAAACTAAAAATGAAGCAAGTATGCTGAACTAGATTTTAAATAATACAAAGCTTTACAAGGATTTGAAGAAATCTCACTGCATCTCTATTAGTACAAACTTTAAAATAAAATTAAGTTCAACATAAAGTATAAAAGTTACAAATATAAATAGCTGTAATATTCTGAAAATGCTGAACAATTTAATACTTCAACAGCTGAAATAGCTGAAAGTTAGCTTAAAAAAACATACAGAAGAAAGTATAAACAGGAAAACCATTGTGTGGACGCCGCCGACTCAGCATTTATACAATTAAACCACTGATATTGACAGAGTGGAATAAAATACCTGTGTCACTGTCAAGTTTACCTGTCGAAGATGCTGAAGTTGAATCGGAACCCGAGGCATCGGATCACGCGGTCGTAGGGTTTCCTCATGGGGAAGTTGTCGATGTGATACCCGGGCAGCTCTTCTCGTGTCACATCACCACTGCTTGGATCGTTCTTGTTTAGTGTGTACTTTTTTAAAGTCAGATAGAGTTTTCCCCTCCCCTCCTTCTTTCCATCAGGTCTCCTCCTGCCCTGCTCCTTTCGCTCAGCAATAACTATTTTCTCCAGGGGGGCCTCCACCAGTCCGCTGAGGGATTTCAGCTGGTACGTGTCTATTAGCTCATTATTTACAGCTCTGAAAGGAAATATCAAAGGAAGCACTGCAGATGTTTCTCCMTGCTTTTTTGTACCAAGTTTACTGACAAACACATCCTGCTTTACCTGAGATCGCCAACGTAATGCGTCTGCCAGGCAAGTCGAACGGGACTGGAACTGAGCATGTGTACCAGGCTCGCACTTCCCAAGATGCTCTGGGCCGTTTCAAAAGCAGAGTTCCCCTTCCCCAGAATGAGCACAGCCTGATCCCTGTAGTCCTCAGGGTTGGTGGAGATGGACTCATAGCCCTCAACAAGATCAGAGCCGATAAACTGAACCTTTTGAGGAACCCATAACCCTGTGGCCACCAGAAGGACGCTGAAGGAGGGAAGTTTAAATTACAACCAAATGTGACTCAAAGTCCAGTGTTTTCATCTTTGTTTCATGTACCTGCATGTGTACTCAGAAGCATGCTGGTCGGTGAGGATGTAGCTCCTTCTCGAGGCCGACTGCACGGACCTGATCCTCCCGATGTCCACGCCATACCGTACCCTCAGGTCGAGCTCCTTCACGAACATGGACAGGTAGAGGGGGAAGGCGTCTGCCGGCGGGTAAAACTCCGCACTCACTCTCCTAAACAGCAGGTCGGGTTTATCGCTCAGCAGAGAGTTCCAGTCATGACGCAGGTTAAACTCTCGGTTCCGCCTTCCTGTGTGGATCTTGTTAATGCTAATCAGCTTCCGGTGTCTGGGGTACCTTGAGACGCACAGAAAAGGCAACGTTTCAAAACGGAATGCAGAAAAACAGAGATTTGATTTTTGCACTACTTCCTACACAAAGGTTTCTCACTTGTTAAAGAAGCTGCCCGGGCCAGAGTTCCTCTCCAAGACGATGTAGTCTCTTCCTGCCTTGGAGAGAAAGTGTGCCATCTGCAGACCTGCAGGTCCAGCTCCAAGCACACAGTAAGTGTAGTGGTGGGTACCATTGTGATCAATAAATGAAGTTATGACAAAGCTAAACAGGGTGAACAGGATGAAACACAGAAGGTTCCGCTCCATAACCTGAGAGACATAAAGAAATGTTAGTGTAAGAAAAAACACCACATGAGAAACAATACAATGTGTTATATGTTGAATTCAGTGACCTGTTCACTAAATCATATTCATGTTATAGTTATATAATGGACATGGACATAAAGTCCAGACTTTCAGCTTTCATTTGAGGGTATCCATATTAAAATTGGATGAAGGGTTTAGTTCAGCTCCTTACTATGTGCCCACCCTGTTTTTCAAGTATTGTAATAGGTTAAATGACTCAATGGCTATTTCATGGACAGACGTTAGCAATTCCTTCATTATGTCATTCTCAATGAAGCAGATAAAAGGCCTGGAGTTGATTTGAGGTGTGGTGATTGCATGTGGAATATTTTTGCTGTGATGAAAACATTTGGTCAAAGGAGCTCTCCATGCAGGTGAAACAAGCCATCGCAAAAAAAAAAAAGAAAAAGAAATTGCTACAAATTAGGAGTGGCAAAATCTACAGTTGGGTGCACCCTGAGAAAGAAAGAAAGAAAGCACCAGTGAACTCATCAATGCAAAAAGACCTCGATGCCAATGGAAGGCAACAGTGTTGTATGAACACTAATTTTCATGATGAAGAGAAACCCCTTCACAACAGCCACCCAAATGAGCAACGCTCTCCTCCAGGAGGTAGATGTATCAATTATCCAAATCTACCATAGGCAGTGTGGGAAGGGATTGTGTCTTCAACTGCATCTGAAGTATTTTGTTCAAAATTTATTATAGTAAGTAATGTACAGAAAATGTCTATGTCCAAAAAGGTATGGACCAAACTGTACATACACATGGAATGAGCAGTAAAAGTGAGTGTGGATTACGCACATGAAAAATCTGCCAAACAGCTTATTCTGCTGTTGCTACTGACACTTGTTTTGAGCTTCTGGTACCCCCAGGTGCTGCCAATCAGGTGCGTAGTTGGCAGCTAAAGTGGTCAGTGTCTACTACAAGATTTGGCAAACCATATTTGACTGATCTGGATGTGGCTCATGCAATAGGGCTGTCTTCTACTGATTTGCAATCAAGGTTTGCAGGATATGACCGACAACTTTCTGCCCAGACAATATGGAACAGAGTGCACACAGCTAATCTCTGGTCTTATTTGGCAACCAAGAGGCCTGCAATGACTGCCCTTCACTGTCAGGCCCTTTTGCTCTGGTGTCAGCATCATGTGGAGGAACGGTATGTTCAGTGATGACACCAGATTCTGCCTGTGGATGTYTGATCGTAGTGTGAAAGTGTGGAGAAGACGTGGAGAACACTATGCTGATTGCTGCACCGATAGAGTAACATCTTTTGGTGGAAGCAGTGTGATGTTGTAGGGCAACATCTCCCTCTCTGGAAAAACAAGGCTYGTCATCACTGGAGGTCATCTCAATGCAGAGAGRTATGAAGATGACATACTGCAAGTGAATCCCATACCTCCACAGTCCGGGACAGAACTCGATCCTCCAAGATGACAACATTACCCCCACAGAGCATGGTTCATCAGATACTACTTCCAGAATCTGGGAGTGAAGAGGATGGAATGGTCTGCCAGAAGTCCTGACCTCAACCTCTTTGAATACTTGTGGGATCAGCTTGGGCTGTTGGTGTCTGAGTGACCAATACAACATTGGCTGACTTGTGACAAATGCAGGACACAGCAATGTGTGTCCAGGCTGGTGACCAACATGAGGTGGAGGTGCCAGGCTGTTGTGGCTGTGTATGGTTCTTCCACACACTGCTGTGGCTCCTGTATGTTAAATGAATAAATTGTTGAATAGCCAATTGTTTCTTCAAACTAAATGAGTCAATGGCAGAGATTTTGGCAAATCTTTCATGTGCACAACCCACATATTTAGATCTACTGCTCATCTCACAAATGCATGTTCCTTACAAATGTGGCACCATTTAAAATAAAATTAACAGGCTTTCCAACAGTATAAGATTTATTGCCAAGAAGCATTGTTACAACAAATAATCTACCACTAATTTCCTTACGGTATGATGTATGCATGCATGCATGCATGCATGCATCATACATACATACATACATACATACATACATACATACATACATAC